AGAACTTTATAGACCACAGTAAATTGCTAGTGATTTTAAATGCAGCACGAAGTCTTTGGAAGTTTTTAGCAGTACAGTGATTTCAATTGATTTGTTATTTGAAAGGTGACTTTGGTTATCAAGAGATGAATAGATGGAATGGTGTGGAGTGGGATGACTGGGCAAGAACCAAAGCAGGGAGACCAGAGTGGAGGACATTACAAAACCCAAGATGTGACTTTAGCTTGGACTAGGGAGTTAACAGTGGAGGTAGTACAGGACAGCTGGGCTCAGCAAAGGTTTCGGAGGTGGAGGCCTTTCTAATGAATGTGGCTCTGGACAGTGCTAGAAAGATGGTGAGAAAGGAGGACTGCTTCATTTATGCAATTAATGTTGCATGAACATTTAGGTTGTTTCCATAATTTGGCTATTGAAAATAGTGTTATGCTGCACACCAGAAATTGACACGACATTATAAACTGACTATACTTCAATTTTTAAAAAAATAAAAACAAAGCCAAAAAAAGAACCCCCAAAATCATAAAAATATATGACTACAAGCTCAGAAAAAGACAATGAAAGAACCCTAATTTAGGCAGTGTGTGTGTATGTGGAGTGGAGTCAGCTATGCCAAGTCTGGGAAGGCTAAGATCTGAAAAAGAAGTAGGGCTGGAACTAGGCGAGAAGCCGTGGGGGTTCAGCAGTGGGAGTGCTTGGTCCTGGTGGTAGGAAGGGGGTGTGACACAGTTGAGAAATAGACCTCCAGCCACCAGGGCTGGAGCGCAAAGTAGAAGAGAGTGAGAAGAAGTCTGTTCAGTGCCACCTCTTACTGGAGATATGACCTCAGGACCCATCCGGTGAAGGCAAACCAACTGAAAGAGAAAAAGAACCTGGGTCCTGGGAGGACTTGCTGAACCAACAAATTGGCCAGCCCTGGAACTGCTCAATTTCTAGACTCCTTGTTACATGAGAGACTAAATATCCTTATAATTTACGCCGTTTGTTCAGTACATGTTTGGTGAACACTTAGGCATTCTTATAGCTATAAAGGACACAATAGGGAACAACATAAAAATCCCTCATGGAGCTGACATTCTGGTGGAGGAGAGAGTTGATAAGTGAGTGAATGAATGATGTGTTAAATGTGGGGCTGAAACTTTTCACTCTTCCTGGTCATTCTCCCCACCCAGAAGCTGATCTGAATGGGAGAGCTCCCCTATCTTGTGACTTCCAGCTGAGTTCAGCCAAGGGGAGCCCCAGCAGGATACCAGAGGCTGGAGAAGAAGGTCTGAGTATTTCTCCCTTAGCTCCTTTCAAACCAGGCTGGGGTTTGGGAATGGATGTTTCTTGTCAGAAGCCACAGCCTCAGCTTCTGTTGAGCTTATCTGTCACGTGGCTCCAGCTCTTAGTGGGGTCCAGTAATCCTGCTCCCTGACCTTTCACCTCCAGCACTCCTTGATCCCCTAACCCTGCCCAACTCCATCATTCATCCTTCTTTGATTACCTCCCTCTTCCAAGGGTGCAGTCTTTTCTGCCAGAACCCTGGCAGATGTAGGTGGCAAGTTGCCACATAGAAAATTAATTCAAGAAGAGTCACAAGTACAGAGGAGAAGAATAGACTTAAAGTACGGGTCACAAGAGGTCTCCTTGAGAAGGTGACATTTGAGTAAAGCTATGAAGGAGGCATAATATATCTGGGATGGAGGGGCATATCAGTCAGAGGGAAGAGCCTTTGCAAAGGCCCTAAGGTGGGCCTGGGGCTGGATATTCAAAGATCAAGGGAAGTGGTGTGAACAGAACAGACATAATGAGAGGGAAAGAGGTGGGAGGTGAGGTCAGTAAAGCAAAAGGACAGGAGCTGTGAGTATGTTGAAGCCACTGTGGGACACTGTACATGAGTAGAGGGGCCCTGCAGTGATGTGAGCAGCGAAGAGACAGACGTTGACTGTGTGTTAATAGAATCAACTGGCTGTCATGTGGAGAAGGGATCCGAGGGTCCAGGCAGGAGCAGAGATCCCAGTTAGGAGGTGACTGCATGGACTGGGCAAAAAAAGATGGCGGCCATAGCAGCAGATGGGAGCAGGTGGTTGAGTTTTGGATATTTTCTGAGGATGGAGCCAGCCAGGTTTGCCAACAGAGCAGTAGTGGGCCTGTGAGACAGAAGAGTTAAAGATGACTCCAAGGTCTTTGGCCTGAGCACCTGGAAATGTGGGGCTGGCAATGCTAATACTGGGAAGACTTAGGAGAAGCAGGACCAGAAAAAGGATGTCAGGGGCTCAGTGCTATACATGTGAAGTTTGAGGTCGTGCCAGACTGTGTTTTGGTGGCCCCCAATGCATCACATCTCCTGTGGTTCCCACCTTTGTGCAGTCCCTTCCCTTTATGCCTGGATTGACCCAGGGACCTGCCTGAATCCATTGAATGCAATGCAAGTGGTACAGGGCCTGTTCCTGGTTTGGGTCTTGGGAAAGCCTGACACCTTCTGTTTTTGCACCCTTGGAAGCCAGCTGCCATGCAAGAAATTGGGCCACTCCCATACCACCATGCTATAGAAAAGACTGGGCAGCCACACAGAGAAGCTCACATGGAGGAAAACAGAGACTGACAGTCCCAGCTGCGCTCTCAGCCGGAGTCCAGCACCAAATGCTCACCACAGGCGTGAGGCATTACACCTTGCAGTTATCCCAGACAACACCATGGGAAGCCAAAGAATCACGTAATTAACATACAGTATCAAGAGAAATAATGAGTTGCTCTTTCAGGTCTTAAAAAAAGAAGAAAGAAACATATCGTGCATTCACTCTCAACTGGATGCATATAAATGGGACTAAAATGGGATAACTACCATTATCACTAATAAAATCTAGGCTAGAGAATGTAGCTTAGGAGTGAGAGACAAATAGGCTTCCTAAACTGGACCCTCTATTTGGGAAGGCTTACGTGACCCGTCTCAGAAGCCCAGACAGGGGCAGGTTTCGCGATGCTGGGGAGCAAATTCTTCCCCTGGAGAAGCAGCAGAGTGCCAGCCCTCTGTGGGGAGCTCCTTCTCACCGGGAAGAGATGAGAGGGCTGAGATGAGCATACAGATTAAATGATACCATCTCCTCTGGTGCAGAGTGAGGAAAGGAGCGCAAAGTGGTCGTGAGTTTTACTGACTGAGTTCCATTCACATAGAAAGAAACATCAAGAGTGGGAAAAATGCTCCACCCCTCCCTGTCCCCTGCTGCTAGGGATAACTCCTCCCTTGTCAGCTGTACCTGCTACTACCTGTGCTAGCCAGTACTGCAGCTCCTAGCTATGTGTGAGTATTTACATTTTAATTAATTTAAATTAAATACATATCAAAATTCAGTTTCTCAGTCACACAGGCCACCTGTCAGGTGCTCTGTAGCCTCCTGTGGCTTGTGGCTCCTATGCTGGGTAATGCAGCCACACAGCATTACCACTGTCAATGCAAGATCCGCAGAATGGTGCTAACTTGAGATTTTTCTTACTCATCTTTGTGTCATCAGTGCCTATAACCAGGCCTGACTCAGAGGTGCTCAGAAATGTTTGTTGAATGAATACATAAAGACTCTTGTGATCTTGTTTTTCAAATCTGCCCATCATAAAGGTCTTCCCATTGTTGCTTTCTGAGCAACGAGATATGAAAACGGAACACAGATAATTTTGTTAAATAAAGTAAGTCAGTGGAAGAATAGGCATTACAGAATCTTATTTTTGTTCAGAAATTATTATAGGCACAAAGATGTGTTTAAAAGTCTTGAAAAATACACATAAGACTATTCTCCATCGAATGGCTGAGATTGGGGGAACAAAATAAGGAAGAACTTTTTTACTTAAAAAAATGGTTATTAGGAAAATATGTTACTTTAGAGTAAAAGATAGTAACAGATTAGGTGAAGTTAAAAAAAAGTAACAGATTAGGTAGTTTATTTTCTTGATATGTAAAGAAAATCATAGCTATTCTCAATATCATGTATTAATAAAAGGCTATTTTAAGAGTGAATTAGATGAAAGTAGTAAAAAACAAAGTGTTGAAGTATAAGGACAAATCACAGCCACTGGCCTGATGAATATTGCATGCAAACCATGAAATCTTGTTTCCTAAGCAGTGTACAAAGTAGTTTTCTTCCCCAAGATATGGCTCCCTTGCTAAGCTGCAGAGAAAGATAGGGCCAGATGGCATAGTTCTCATTTTCTGTTACACCTCCTGACCCAGCAATATGCTTTCTCCCACCTCTCCTTATAGAAATTACTTTTGTTCATTGCAGGAGCAATCTGCACCCTGGGAATGGACCTAATGACTGTGTCCGAATCAGAATACTAACACACTGCCTGTGATAATCTTCTTGTAGCCTTATTTTGCTCCTTGTTTGGTACTTTACAAGCTCACAGATGCTAGACCAGAATTCAGTACATAAAATGAAGACATTCTATTTGACAGGGCCAAATCTCAATTGCTGAAGCAGGGCATTAAAGCGTGAAGCAGTGCCTTAAAAAGTAACTGGGGTCATCTGATCTGCACCTAAAGTTAACCTGATTTCAAAATGAAGATCTGTAAAAATGCTAGGTGCCACAGTAATTTCTCAGGAAAAGAAAAAAAAAAAAAAGGAGAGGCAGCTATCATTACAAGAAGACTAAATCAAAAAGAGAATGACAAATAAAATAATACAGACAGACAAGTTCAATGATCAGGTCTGTTTTATTTCATGCTCAGTTGATGGGAGAAAAGAATATTTTCATCAAACTATTAAAATGAATGAATTTAAAGATATGAATATAATCACCCAGAAAAAGTGCACTAACAAAATAGTTTTTAAAATGAGCATGATTGAATAATTTCTTTTTGATTACTGTGCTCATTGACTGTTATTCTTAAATAATGATGGATTCTAGGCTTGGTTGAGTAAACTCCATGAGGATAAATTTGTCTCTCAGGAACTGATCCTTGAAGTTGAGCTGTTCAGTAAATTGCTCCTTTCTTAACGGTTTTTTCTCTTACTGTTTGTATTTTTCAGACTCACTATGAGAATGGGGAATATATCATCAGGCAAGGTGCAAGAGGGGACACCTTCTTTATCATCAGCAAAGGAAAGGTAAGTTTTGGTGGCACTTGAGAGCCAAGTACCAGGGATATCTGGTGTTCATCAGCGACCCCTGGAGGAGCACAGGTGCAGGGTCTGGAGCTGTATCTGTTTTTCATTTTCTGAAACTGATAAAGGTATATTTGAGAGCAGATCTCCTAAAACTGATGAAAGAGGAAGAAAAAGTATAACTTTGAAGGCCAGTGAACAGCCTTCATTCTTTAATATAATAATCATGATGCTAAATGCCACTGATAAGTCTGAAAAATGGAAAAGTTTCCATAATTAAGATTATATAATGAAAAAAAAATGACTACAGTAGCTTTAAAAAAAA